CTCGAAGTCCATTCTCGTAGCTTGGAGCTCGGCCTGGTCCTTTTATGCCTTCTCCAACTCGGCTTGATGCCTTTGCAATCTGCACCTTCAATGGTCCACTATGGAAATCGACCTCTACATAAATACCTCGGCCGAGTCCAAACCCTTGACCAGGCCCACCTTCTCTATTATGGCCTTGTCGGCTGCAAAGGCTGGATCTTCCTTAAAGAACCCCTCGACAGTCAAGTTAGGATTCCACAACAATGTCACGTCGGGTGACATACTAACATGGTCCAACCTTGCTAAGGGGCGACTCACGTTGAAGCGCTGGTATATGCACCTTGACCTCGGTGCAGTCGCTGAGCTAGGAATAGGCGAGTTGTGGTCAGAGGGAATGTAGATAGCACCCCAGAACTAACACCATCATTGCCAACCTCGGCGACAGTAGAAGTCGGAACCACCTACAACAAAAACACAAGATTTTTATAAGTGAAGTTAGAAAAATGACTAAAAGGTACTACAAGGATGAGGACGAAGTTAGTACCCGTTGTTTCGAGATAACCTCGGTCACAGGCTCCCTTGGCAGAGTTTCAGCTCGAGGGCTCATGGTTAGATCAATTGCTGCAGCATGATCGGGAACGTTTAATGTCAACTTCTCAAGAATTGGGGTAGACGAAGCCTCACCCACCTTCTTTGGTGCCTTTTTTCTCTTGTGGCGAGGTCGCAGCGGAGTAACCTCCTCCTCACTGAGCTCGGGCACCTCGAGCTCATCGGTGTTGAATCTCGCCTTGAGCTCGCACCATTTGCTTTTCCCCATCAACTTTGCAAAAACAAACAACACAAAGTTATTAGAACGACAACAAACACTTAGCAAATCCAACAAGCACAATTATAAAATACTCACTCTCCAAACCCTTCTCTTTGTCCGTTAAGTCGACAAGGGAAAGGACGTCCTTGCTGTCCAGGGGTCGAGGTAGTTTCTCAAGGTTGGCTATGTCGGCCTTATTGGAAGCCAACATGTGAAGACAACCAAAACCATTAAATTTAACGAGATTCTTCTACAAGAAGAAGGGTGTAACGACCCGCCATGGTCCCTACACTTAGTGGAATCGCTCTACTACAAGTAGACTAAAAGAAATATTAAATGTGACAACTCGTACATATAGGATATATAAAATATAATAATAACAAAGTTTTCTAAATACAAATTATAACACTATATATATGTACAGTCATCTAAAATAATATTTCCTAGTGTCGGTCAAGCACAATAATAGTTACCCCAGCAAGTAACTCTAACACTGGGAAAAACATCCTCGTCTGATAGCGGACCTTAACTCCAAGCTAGCCCTAATTTGCTCCCATATAAAGTATGATCATCGCAGTCCATCCACATGGAAACAAAAGGGTAAGCTAGAGTTCAATAAACAACCATACAAGTATATAACAATAATCTATACTACACATTTATCCAATCATGTTCATAGAGCCACACCATACACTATATCCAAATCTACTTATGCATAAAATGCAACATAGCAATCATGAAGTCAAACACCATACACTTCATCACAACAACATTCATGCAATTAAGCATCACATGAAAGATATCAAATGCATATTTATCATTTAATGCGTCATCACGCATACACCTAGGAGATCTCCTTAACAACAGAGTAGTATAAGTGACATCCCAATCCTACTGAAATCACCCCAACTGTTTTCACGTCCAATGCACCCGCTCAGTCATAGCTAAACAGGATATAAATCCTCACTCGGGTTTACTCGGATAATGTCACTTACACAATTGGAAGTCCAGATCCACCGTCAGGTATAGCACAATTGGGTACAAGCTTACCACGACCTTGGCATGCATTACCAAGTCACTTGTGGAGTTCGCCCACCGACTATCTGCAAGGATCCACGCACCTTCCCCAATACTTGGTTAAGGGAATAACCCTCGACCTCATACTCCGCTCCAACACTAACTAAGGACTTAGAGGAGACTCACCCAACCCAGTGGCCTACCTGAGCACCACTCTCACCCAAATCCAGTGGCCTATCTAAGCACCACTCTCATTTATATCAGTGGCCTATCCAAGCACCACTCTCAAGAGACTCTATGTGAGCTCTTCTAGTTCAAAAATATTTTCCCTTTCCTCAAGTCCTAGGCTAGACACATGTCATAAGGCATCACATGCAATAATGCATCATATATCATACATGGTCAATCCACCATCATGATCAATATCATTCTCATATGAACATATACACATGTCATATCATATTTAAACATTCATATATATCATTACAAAGCATACATATGAATCAAGTGCCAATTTACATCATATATAATACATATATGAACCAATATACAACATAGTATCAAGCAACTTTTTAATCCACATGCAATGGAAGAAATAACATACATGCACCAACAATAGTTCAATCCAAGTCCTAAAAACAACATGTACCCATCTGATTCATCAAGATCGACCAAAACCCCATTTTAGCTCAAAAATCCCGAAAATGAAAAATACCCCTCAAATCAGCAAATCAATCTCCTATTCATGCAATTGAGTTTCTAAACTCACATGCAACCAATCCATGAGAATCCTAACTTCCTTTACCTGGAAATTGGTTCAAAATGGCCAAGAACTGAGAAGAAGTAGAATTCCCTTTTGAAGCTCAACCCATAAACTTCAATCCACCCAAAGCAAGCTTCCTAGTCTGAATTTCAAGAAAAGATAAAAGACATTAGTGATCTAGAGGAGAAGAAGAATCATATAGAGAAATTTGGGAGAGAAAGGAGCTCACAGACCCATAGTCCTTCTCTCTAAAACTTTTCTCTAAAACCTCTCTCTAAGTTTCCTTTTTTTCTTCTCCTCAACTGCATGCATGTGGCCTATTTATAGAAGTTTGGAATGGCTAGAGCGGTCCGTTTCAGATCCAGAATGACCCGTTCTGCACTCATTTGTCATGTGTAAAATTCACATCCAGAACGGCTCGTTCTCAAACTAGAACGACCTGTTCTGGGTTGCATTTTAACCCATAATGGCCATGTTTAGAACGACCTGTTCTTAAACCAGAATGACCCGTTCCTAACTAGGGTTTATAAGCCTTTTTAGTAGTTTGGAACAACCTGTTCTAGTTTGGAAACGTCCCATTCCAGTCTACTAACTACGTTACAAAGGGGAACCTCGGCTCCCCCTCGAGATGGAAGACCTTTTTAGTCCTTGGGTTGGCATTTATAGGGCGAACCTGAACAAACTCCTTCTTAAACCTTTTATAAGATTGGGAGTAAAGTTGGAACAACCCCCCAACCTTACTACCACTGAGAGACACCCAGCCTAAGAGGGGCTCGCATAGTTTCAGTTGGTAAAAATGAAGGAAAGTAGGCAGCGAAGCACCTATTCCTAGAGCTGAGCACAAAACCTGAAAGGCTCGAAGAAAACCCCAACACTGTTAGGGTGAAGTTGGCAGGGAGCGACGTTGATATGCTTAAGAAAGGAACACTCAAACGGGGTGAAAGAAAGGCAAACACCAAGGTCTCTAACAAGACAACGATACATATAGAAAAACAGGGTATTTGTAGTACCTGACATATACACACGCTCACTAGGCTGACAAGGCTCGACCTAGATGAGCTTGGAAATGGCTAACGTGCAAATTGTCAACGAATTCCAAAGAGCACTCACTTTGAGAAAGGACCTAAACCTACTCTCGAACTCCCCCACGTCCCCCCTAACCCATTCATATCCTGGAACAGAGATGGTGGGGTGCGAATCCCTTTGATTGTTCCCACCCTTTTTCCTCTTCTTGCCATCGTCACCATTGGCTATGCCCCCAGCAACTACGACCCCCTCCTCCTAAACTTTGGCCTTTCCTTTGGCCGAACGACCAACGCCATGGGCCATTGGCCCAGGGGCGGCCTGGGGGGGTGGAACCTTGTTCTCCATTGCCAACCATAATCGCGACACTCCTAAGTAAGAATAGAAAGGGGAAGAGGAGCAAGCAAGGGAGAAGTACCTGGAAACCTTAGGGACCGACACTCGTAGACTGGCAAATGGCGACGACGAGAGGCGGAGACGTCACCAGAAAACACACAAACGCAACAGAAGAGCAAAGGCAAGGCAAATATACCAGTGGTAATGGCAAACACAAAAGTGAAGAGGGAAATAAAGAATCCTAGCATTTAAAACCAAAGCCCATACACGACAAAAAATAGACACATTAAATAAGGGCTCATAATGACAGGGTGCATCCCATCATTATGAGTCGTCACTCTTTATTACAGCCACCAACGCTTTGAGAAATGAAGCGACCCTCTAACAATACATGGTGTTTGGCCCAAGGGGTGGAACTGAAAAGTCATGACCCCTCATTCAACCATCTAAACTCGGTATAAGCTCCTCGCCCAAGGCGCTCAGAGCTCGGAGAGCTAGTGTACTACCCACATCGGCACTAGGAATCACCTTGGCATTAAGGACATCAAATTACATCAGTTGAGAAGATCGAATCATCCTCTAACTGATAAAGATAAAGAGATAAACCCACAATCTTATTAGATCATAACCGATCCTACTTTCGCTAAGGGAAAAATCTTAATCTACATCAAGATACATGCATTATATATATGAGACCTACACATCTACAAAGACTAACTTTAAGTATCAGAGTCTCTTTTGCAGGTACCACCCCTATTTTAGAGTGACTAACTTACAAGGTAGAGGAGGTTCACCGATCTCATCAAGCGATCATCCCATACCAATTTCAGGTGAGAACAATAATTAATATTAAAAATAATATTTTAAAAATTTAATATTATATTTATTGTGTGCTTTATTATTGATCAAAATAATGTATAAAACAAAAAACTTGTGTTATATTTTTTTCCTTTCTCGTATCAAATGCATCATTCAGAAAAAAATAAAAAAACAACAGAAAATAAACCATGTGTTTGTCCACGTGTAAAACCCGTCCTTTTCCACGTGGTTATTTTAGGAAGCGAAGCGAGCCCATTTCATTCCCTCGCATCTTCTTTCGTTCAAAAAGCTTCCCCAACCCACCGAGTCACCGATTCGAAGCTACTCACTGGCACTCGGTGTCACCTTTGACGCAATGAATCTGAGCTACGAACAGAGGCTTCAGGTTGCGGCCAAAATCATACTCGACGACGACGCACGCGCCGGCGATGCGCCGCCGTGCGAGGAAGAGCTTGGGCTCAGGGCGACCCTCAAGCCGCACCAGGTGGAAGGGGTTTCGTGGCTCATACGGAGGTACAAACTCGGCGTCAACGTTGTTCTCGGTGAGGTTATAGCCCTTTCACTGTGTTTGGTTGCTATGAATTTTGAATTTCTTTGAATTTAAAGAAACTATGGTGGTGTCTGTTTTTATTTTATTCCATTTCTTAAATTTTCTTTACTTGGTGAGATTATAGGTCTAATCTTCAATTAGGTGTGTTTGGTTGCATGGGAAATCCAAGAGTTTGAAGGGAAATTTGGGATTTGGTTTAGTTATTTTGGTCCGGCCTAATGTGTGTGTACATGTAATGATAAAAAATTGTGAACAGTAGGTGAGAAATATAAAGTTTGGTGTAAAGGTGTATTGCACTCCAAAATATTGTAACGAGCAAGGCTAGCAATTCGCTTTATTAAAATATATTATTGGATTAATTTTATGTTGTCCCTCACTCTCTTTGCGGGAACTACATGAGATTCACCTGACAATAGAGATTATGGCAAAAAAAGTGTTGCTAAATACACCAAATTGGTCCTTCAATGTCAATTTATACCATCAAATTGAAACCAATGGCATTAACCTTGAAGGACCGAATTTGATATTTAGTATTGCTTATAATTGCCGGGCTGAGGGTAATGTGGATGGTGGCATATTATTTGAAGGACTAAGGCAGATATTTATTCTGAAATTGTGGTTACGGGATTTCTTTTATTCAATTAATTTAAGAGTTTGAGTGATATTGATATTGTGTAATCAATGTTTGGTGAGGTGGAATTTTTTTTTTCATGCAATGTCAATCGGAATATATTGATGTTTGAATACAATAATGGCTGTTGCTGTTTAGTTGTTTCACATTTGTTGGTAATAATGTGTGTGGCCTAGGGCATGAGGTTCCCACTTGGTGGGGTCCACAGAGGGTGAATATACACAGCCTTACCCTTGTAAGCTAGAGGCTGATTCCATGATTTGAATCCTGTGACCAAGCCACAAGTCAGCAATTGCATCAAGGCTCACCCTTCAATTTTTGTTAATTTTTCATTTTTTGCAACAACAAAGACAGAAAATCCAGTGTTTACAGATGACATGTTTTTATTATTCAATTTTGAAGATAGATTGGCTTGATAGTATTTGTGGAGCAACAATTTTTCATTAAGTTATGTTATGATTAGAATGTTTCTATTATTTGCAGGGGATGAGGTACACTCTCTTCAATTCTGTGTTGGAGCCTATGTAAACTGAAAGGGAAAATTTTGTTATCTGATTGGTATTACCGTCATGAAATTCACCTTTTAAATTGGTTACTTGACAATATTTTTTCTCTGCATTATTGTCATTTTGTTATGTAAAATCATCATATTATACCCAGAAGAAGGGCTGTTTAATGTTTATTAGATATCAAATGCTTCTTGAAATTTCTGTTTACATGCTTAAAAAGATTCAGCATTTTCTTAATGAACTAATTGAGGGAGTATTCAGTCACGTCATGTAAATATCTGTTATTGTCATTGCTTTTTGAGCTGCATGGTTATTAGGGGTGGGCAAAATTAACTGAACTGAACTGAACTTATAAAAACTATATTGAACTTAAAAATAGTTCTCATGAACTGAACTGAACTGAAAATTAGATTACAAAAACTGAACTGAACTGTTTTTATTCTATTAAACTGTACTGTACTGAATTATACTGAACTGTGAACTATAATATAAACTAAACTGAACTGCTATACACCTTAATTTGTTTCTGAACTGCACTATTTTTGAACTGAACTATTTATGAACTGCTTCTAAACTATGCCACCAATTAATGAACTGTTGATGAACTGCACTATTTTAACTACAATTTTTTGTACAGGACCTAAACCACAGTTTGTATACAAAAATCCAAACACATTCAGTGGTTACCTTGATGTGACCATCATGTGCTATCAATAAATTGTCTTTGAATGAATTTTCACTCGATATTGTAAGATGATAATCTCCAATATTATTATACTCGAATTGGTCATTGACATAGTTAAGTGGGCGGTGGCTGGTGAATTAGGGATTCCAATTTCGCATAGAAAAGGGTAGCGTGTGTGCGTAGTTTAATTGCAATTTGCAACCCGTGCCGTGGTCGTGCAGTCGTGCGTGGTTTTATTTTTTAACATGCAGTTAATTTTAGTTAACTAAACTGTAACTTAAATAAGTTCAGTTTTTTAAAACTGAATTAAAAAATAGTTTAGTTTAGTTTTATTTTAAATAGTTATAGTTTTTTAGTTTAAAATAATTCAGTTATTAATAGTTTTAGTTAAGTTAAGTTAATTTTGCCCAGCCCTAATGGTTATTCACTATCCTTTAGTCTCTCATTTGTCCATGTACAAAGAGCTGCATTATCTTAATAATGGTTACATGCTAAGAGGTTTACATGCTTCAGAATATTCTCAGTCTCGTTTTTTGCTAATTCAGCAGATGTAGATCTAAATACAAGGTTCACGGTATTGCTGTTGGAATACAAAATAACGTGATTCTAGATTTTTTTATTTTGACGTGTTTTTTGCTTTTTGAGCTGCATTGTTATTCACCATCCTTTAGTCTCTCATCTGTCCATGTACAAAGAGCTGCATTATCTTAATAATGGTTACATGCTAAGAAGTTTACATGCTTCAGCATATTCTCAGTCTCGTTTTTTGCTAATTCAGCAGATGTAGATCTAAATACAAGGTTCACGGTATTGCTGTTGGAATACAAAATAATGTGATTCTAGATTTGTTTATTTTGATGTGTTTGTTGCTTTTTGAGCTGCATAGTTATTCACCATCCTTTAGTCTCTCATCTGTCCATGTACAAAGAGCTGCATTATGTTAATAATGGTTACATGCTAAGAAGTTTACATGCTTCAGAATATTCTTAGTCTCGTTTTTTGCTAATTCAGCAGATGTTGATCTAAATACAAGGCTCACGGTATTGCTGTTGGAATACAAAATAACATGGTTCTAGATTTGTTTATTTTGATGTGTTTGTTATGGATATGGACAGATGGGACTGGGCAAGACTTTGCAAGCTATCTCCTTTTTAAGCTATTTAAAAGTATGCCAGTTGTCAGTTGGGCCATTTTGTGAGTGAAGGGATCTTTGATTTGATAAATTTTAATTTTCTTTTAATGCATATTCTGATAAATTATAGTTATCCCTTTCATGCTTTTATTTTATTGTTTCAGTGGTGATATGTCCTCTAAGTGTGACAGATGGTTGGGTGTCAGAGATAGTCAAATTTACCCCTAAACTAGAAGTCTTCAAATATGTTGGTGATAAAGAATACAGGCGTAATCTACGCATGAAAATTCATGAACGTGTAACAGGGCAGTCATCAACGCTGAACGTGAGTGCATTATACTTTCATTCAACTTTCTGTGGTCATATGAATGTCTACTGATTTTCATTCTTGTGGAACTTTTTGGCAGCTATTGTTGCCTTTTGATGTGCTGTTAACATCATATGACATTGCACTGATGGATCAGGATTTTCTTTCTCAAATACCATGGCAGTATGTAATCATTGACGAAGCTCAGAGACTTAAAAACCCGTCAAGCGTATGTTGAAGAAACTATTAAATACCCTATGTTTAGTAGTGTTCAATTAAGAATGCCCCTGTATATTTAACTTATCTAATTAATTTCATTTCAGTGGAGCAATAGTTACATATTGTAAGAACTTATAAGGATTTAGGTAGGGAAAAAGGAAAGAGAAAATAGAGGCTGAATAATGTGAAACTAATATTGATTCAATGTGATGATCAGATACAAAATGCAAAACACTTGTGCCCATTTATACTAATTGTTGACTCCAAATACTAATTAAAGAAGGAAATAGGTGTAGGGCCCCATAGATCACTATATATTAATTCAAAATGTGAATTATAGACTGTTTTTGATAAACTGGAAGGTAATTTATGTGATTTACCAAGACAGCATGGTGCACAAAAATCTGTGTCAATTTTATTCATAATGGGAAAATTACAATTGCGGAAAATAGTTCTCATTATATCGTTATGTGGATGGCCTAATCTAGAGTGCCAAATGAAGAAATAGAGTTTCTTGTGGTTGTATTAATTGTTGGATTGTGTCTGGATGAAGACAGAGGTAAGGAGGGAAATTGTTATAGGCCATCGGAGCCAATGAATCCCTTGAGTAGCACTTCTTTAGTGTCCTGTGATTTCACCAAGCAAAAAGAAGGGTGAAACTCAAAAAAATACAAAATTATCTTTGTAAAATTGATTGACACTCATAAGATTCTTGGTAATAGAAGGAATATATAGTAGATTATTTAGAACAAAGGTGAGTCGGGATTTATAGAGTTACACTTGAAGAATTGATATGGAGGCCTTGACCATTTCCAATGGCAATTTGATTTGGTCCTCCAAATGGTGTTAGCTTCTGAACATTTTGTGAGACATTGGTGACATGGTTAGAGGTCCTTAAGTCAGTATACCACATATTTGAACTAGGAGAGAAGGAAGTAACCATAGTTTGAGGTTGTCATAGACTAAAACCAGAATCACCATTAGAAACCAGGTAAACTCGGGAAGGATTAGTGTTATGACAAACTCCTAATATGCTGGATTGATTTGAAGAAGGGTGGAAGATTTGCTGAGAAGAAGTACCTTGAGTGGTGCACCACATATTCAGAGGAGCAACTTGACTCACAAAACCAGATGAAGGCTGATTGCAAGGTAGAAAGGGAACTTAGCTTTCACCAAATTTGTAATAGCACATGGAAGCAATATGACCATATTGATGGCAGACTTGACACTAAAGACCAGGGTATCGACGACGACCACAACCATAACGATAATTGAATCAACCACCACGACTTCCTATACTGTGGAACTATGAGAAAATATGTTTATGGTGTTTATCCTTCAAGGCCTTCACAAAGATTACGAATCTGTTCGAGATCAAATCCTTTCATTCCTACAGTAGAAGAACTCATAGATTGATTGATTTGGGTCCCTTCACCGAAGGCAGATCCTCACACAGAATCTGAGTCCTCTGTTTTTATCTCTAGTACAACTGACCGTGGAAGTCGAAGGCGTGGTCGAGGTCGAGGTTGAGGTCGTGGTCGTGGTAAAGGGGGTAGAGGAAACCTCCATTGTACCTACTGTCAAAGAGATGGACATACACGAGATAGGTGTTATTCCTTGCATGGCTTTCCGAGCAAGACAGCTAATGTGGCTCAATCTCCAACTTCGGCTCTAGAGCTCAAGATTGAATCTGAGGCCAATCATACAATCTCATTATCTACCGATGATTACAAAGAGTTTCTTCAACTGAAGGCAGCGCAACAAGCCTCTTCCTCTGTCGCTGTTGCTCAGACTGGTAATTCAACCGTCTGTCTCTCTCATTCTACGTCTATTGGACCTTGAGTTTTGGACTCTGGTGCTTCTGATCACCTAACTGGTAATGTCTCCCTTTTTTCCTAGCCTATCATCACCTAAAAATCTACATCATATCACTCTTGCAGATGGGTCAAAAGTCCAAGCCACTGGTATTGGCCAAATATCACCTATCGCTTCACTACCATTAAAATCTGTTTTACTAGTTCCTGGATGTCCTTTTAATTTGATTTCTATAAGTAAGTTGACTCGGTCACTAAATTGTGCCATAACCTTCACTTCTAATTCTTTCTTGATATAGGATCGGAGTACGGGCAGACGATTGGAGTCGGATCTGAATCACATGGTCTCTACTACCTTCAACCTTCTACCTCTACCATATGTGCATCTGTTGAGTCTCCTAGTTTAATTCATCGTCGCCTGGGTCATCCAAGCTTGAATAAATTAAAGAAAATGGTACCTCATCTCTCACGCTTTGAATCCTTAGAGTGTGAGTTGTGTCAATTAGGGAAGCATGTTAGAACTTCTTTTCCTAATAGTATTAATAGTCTAGCTGTGTCTCCTTTTGATGTCATTCATTCTGATGTTTGGGGCCCTAGTCGGGTTCCTTGTATTTTAGGGCATAGGTATTATGTCACCTTTATTGACGATTTTTCTAGATGTACTTGGATATTTTTAATGAAAAATCGTTTTGAGTTATTCAATATTTTTCAAAGTTTCTATTCGGAGATCAAAACTCAATTTGGCAAAGTAATTCGGATTTTACGAAGTGACAATGCTAAATAATATTTTTCAGATCGCTTCAAATCATTTATGACTTCCCATGGCATTCTACATCAATCTAGTTGCCCTCATACACCTCAACAAAATGGTGTAGCTTAGCGAAAACATAGACATATTGTGGACACTGCTCGTACTCTTTTATTGAATGCCAATGCACCCCCAAAGTTGTAGGGAGATGCTGTACTTACTGTAGGGTATTTAATAAATCGAATGTCATCCTTTGTCTTGAATGATCAAGTACCTCATTCCCTATTATACCCATTGGATCCCATTTACTCTGTTCATCTTCGTGTCTTTGGTTGTACTTGTTTTGTCTATGATCTTTTCTCAGGAGGTGTTAAGTTGTCTGCTCGGGCTATCAAATGTGTGTTCTTAAGATACTCTCGTGTTCAAAAGGGGTACTATTGTTACTCTCCTGTTATGCATCGGTTTTACACCAGTGCAGATGTCACTTTCTTTGAAAATACACCATATTTTGTTGCTACAGATGTCTCTTCGGTTGACTCAGATCTCTTTTCTCAGGTATTGCCTATTTCTCATTTTGATCCCGGTATGCCTTCTACACCTACTACTTTAGAGGCACCAGAGATTCCTCCCACACCACCAGGGTTTGATCGTCCTCTACACCGATTTGGGATAACCTATGAGCGTCGGTCACATACTGTTGTTCCTCCCAGTACTTCTACAATTGAGCCATGTGATTCTACCCTTGCTCCGGTCTCCTTGCCTACTTCGGCCCTACCTACTTTAGTTGACTTGCTCATTGCTCTTCGTAAAGGTAGTCATTCTTCTGGTAATCCTCATCCTATTTATAACTTCCTTTCATATCATCGTTTGTCTCCTACCTATTATGCTTTTGTCTCTGCTATTTTTTCTATTACCATTCCCAAGACAGTGTAGAAAGCATTAACCCATCCAGGATGGCGACATTGATGAGATGACAGCTTTAGACTCAATCCACACTTAGGTACTTGTCCCACCTTCGCCTAGAAAATCTGTTGGTTGTCGGTGGGTCTTTAAAGTTAAAGTGGGCCACACAAATTGCCCATAAAAAACGGGATTCCTCCGGTAAAGCAGAAGCTTCGAAGGATCAAACCTGAGTGGTCCCTCAAAATAAAGGAAGAAGTCCAAAAACAACTAGATGTTGGGTTTTTGGTCGTATCTCAGTATCCTGAATGGCTTGCG